CCCTTCTTGCCTTCCAGTCCTGTCACCCTCTTCCCGAACTCTATCCTCCCCCACCAGAGGCTTCCCATGGCTTTTAGGTTAAAATCCACCCTCTGCCACCACCACGCTTTCACAGGGGCTGTTCCCTCCGTCTGGAATCTGCCGCTCTCCCATTTGCACTCATAGCCTTCATTCCTATCTGTGCAGATCCATCTCCTTGCGGAAGCATTGGTATCTTCCACGGCTGAAGTCCCCAACCCCTGGGTCATGGTCTAATGCCAGTCCATGGTCTGTTAGAAGCCAGGCCTCACAGAGGTGGGTGAGTGAGCGAAGCTTCGTCTGTATTTATAACCATTCCCCATCGATCGCATCACCACCTGAGCTCAGCCACCTATCAGATCAGGGGCAGCAGTAGGTTCTTACAGAAGCCCTAACCCTGCTGTAAACCACATGGGAGAGATCTACTTTTTTCTTTTCCTAGTCTAACCTTTTGCCCAGAAAATCAGATTCATCTTTCAGACCAAGTGAGAAACCCATCAAATAAGCCTTAACGAATTCCCCCGGTGTACTGGCTGCTTGTGTGCAATTGCCGGTTTCCCACATGGCTGTGCCTGAGGTTTCAGTACTTAAAGTAAAAAAGGAGAACTTCATTTCCCTCCCCACTGACGGGGAAAGGAAGCATTGTACTTGATTCGGCAGAACTGGAAGAGAAGGACACCCAGGCTGGTTGTTTGCTAGATGCCTCGTTCCTCTGAGTAGCAAACGGAATGCGTCACCAGCTGCATTTTTTGTGGGTTCTGTGGGTGAGAGGCAGCTAGAGAGGCCATGCCATCAGGCAAAGGACCCACTAAGAGTAGAGTTCTCCTGGGGCCCTGAAAACCCGGAACGCGACCCAGTAGAGTTAAAGAGACATCCCCTTTCCTGTCCACCCCAGAAAGCATAAACCTCTGCCAGAATTGGATACAAGTAGGAGGAGGAAGTGAGAGAGGATGGAGAAAAAAACCTCTGGAAGGCTTCCTGGAGGAGGGGACAGAAAGGCCAGGGCTTGAAAGAAGAGTAAGACTGCCCCAGGTAAGGAAGGGCGTTCTAGGAAGTAGGAGCAGCACAGGCACAGAGTCACAACGGGCTTAGCAGCTTCAGAACCAGGAGGAACCAAGAGAGCGTTAACACCATGAGGCAGTAGGTACTGAAAGTCCAACCCAGTACAAAGTGCAGGAGAGATCACTCCTGCCTCCAGGCACATGAGAAGGCTCCAGCAGACGTACCTGAGCTGGGCTATGAAAGGAGAAGAGTGGAAGAGTGGAACGGCAGAGGCCAAGGCAGGGGTGAGGAGGCACGCTGCATCTGGGGACATGTGTGGTTGCCTTGATGTTCCTGAAGTTGAAAGACAAATGCTGGAGTGTTTAGCAAGACCCAGTTGGCAAGGTGGGTTGAAGTCTGATTACAGAATAGACATACTAAAGATGAGTCAGAAGAGTTTGAACTGAGGTTTAATCCAGGCGATGCCACTTCCTAGGGGTGCGATGTCACCTGGCCTCTTGGAGCCTCCATCTCCTCAACTGTTAAATGAAGACAGTGATCGCCCTCGCTTGTGGGGTTGCTGTGCAGATTCAGTAATAAGTAATGTGCATAATACAATCTTACAGCGCAGATGTGCCAGAGTTCACTGAGTGTCCCCCTGCTGATGGACACTCATGTTGTCTTCTGATCTTTGCTGCTTGCAGACTTGCCAACACAGGCGTCCTGTCCACACATCTTTATATGCTAGCAGTTGCATTGCCACAGGCTAGGCCCCCAAAAGAGTAATTTAGATCTAAGTTATCTAGAGGAGCATCCATTATACATCAGGAATTTTAAGAGAAATGAAAGAGAGGCAGTTTCTGGGTAATGTGTACGGTGTGTATGGAGAATGTCCCGTGCGTGTGCTCCGGAAAGGTATGGAAGACTGCACCACACCAGTCGGCAGGAGTCACCTCCCAGCAGCCATGGCTTGGGTATAGGGTAGACAAGGTAGTTGGCCCTTTCTGTATGCCTGGGGGATACTGTAAGCAGTATGCCATCACTTTGGAAATTTGAGAAGAAAGTTCAGGAGTGTTTTTTTAATGTTATCTGTGGTGACTTATGGTGACAGTGATGACATGGATCTTTCTGATAGGCACTGGAGCCATTGAAGGCTGGTCCATAGGGGATAATGTGGCCCTCTAGGACAATCCTTCTGCTCACAGGAAGCAGGAAGAAATGGAGGGAATGAGCTCCATACAAAGCCCCTGCTTTCACAAAAGGTCACGAGAAACTTATAGGAGCTGGGCTTTAAATAGAAATACAACAGAAGGGGTTCTTTGAAAACTCCTTGAGGAAAGAAACCGCAGCTGTTTTGTTCATCCCCCCAGCACCTGGAACAGCATCTGGCACATTGCAGTTCTCAAAGAAATATTTGTTGAAAGGAGCAGAGCAAGGCAAGGGAGAGGAGGGGAGAGAAGGGGAGAGGAAAGGAGGAGAGGGGAGGAGAGGGGAGGAGAAGGAGAAAGCAAGACATTTCTAGTTATAAGAGAGGCTGGTTTACTCAGCTTTGAAAGACCCCCCCCCAAAAAAAAATAAAAAACATTAACTAAAATGTCAGCCTAATGACAAAGTACCTATACCCAGCTGTTAAGGAAACACAGAGAAAATTTTGATCAGAAATAGGGATTCGCAAAAAGCAATCCTGTTGCTACCCCATCCAAAACGAATCATGTGTAACAGTGAGACCCATACTGTTTGGTCTATACATGTAATGAAAAGATCTGCTAAAAATTATACCCAGAGGCTCTGCTGGAGAGGCCATGTGGTTGAGCTGGGGGAGCCCTGATCCCTGCACCAACACAGTCATTATGATTAAATGATGCTTCTCATAATCAGGTTGCAAAACTGCTCCAGGCAAGAGCCTGGGAGAGGCTTAATTTATGTCCTTTGGAGATTACCTCGCTTCTGAGAGGGGGTTCCGCTGTCAACTTGATTTCTGCCTACTCTCAGACCTCAGGACATTGCCTGTTGGCTGTTGTCTGAAAACCCAGGATGAGGCTGTGTGGCAGGACACAGGATGGAGCAGGCCCTTAGCTTGTTTCTCACCAGTTGGAATCGCAGACTGTCACCACTAGGAGTGAGCCTTGGAGATTATCTGGTGGCCAGGGGCTCTTATTTAATCAAGAGGCATTGTGTATTCAACTGTCATGTTGATGTGGTGTTTGCAGTGGGCAAGGGACTGGGAGGAGGAACCACCTGAAATCCTGTGAGAGGGTGATACAGGGATGATGGAATAAACTGTGGTGAGTCACCCCATGGACTGTTATGTAACCATTAGAAGGGTTGCCTGAGTTCTGTACCAAATGACCTGGATGTGGGATGTGTGTTACTAAGTAAGACCAGTAAGATTTAGAGATGTGTTCAGAGCAGAGATGGCATTGACGAGCCAGAGAGATGACAGGTGACAGATGAACCGCAGGCTAACTGTGGCCCTGTGTCTGGCTTTGTACAGCCCATTTGCTAGGGATGGGTTTTACATTTTTAAATCACTGGGGGGAAAAGGGGGAGATTTTGTGACATGTGAAAATCATATGAAATTCAAATTGCGGTGTCTGTTACTCAAGTTTTAGTGGAGTACAGCCACACTCATATGCTTGCACGCCCGCAAAGGCAGAACTGAGTCACTGCAAAAGAGAGCAGGCAGGCTTCAAAGCAGAAAATGATTATTACCTGACCCTTTGCTGAGGAAGTTTGTCAGCCCTTGGCTTAGAGCATGGTGACATTTTGCAAAATGACAGCAGCAGATACCGGTCTCAGCACTTTGTAAGAGCAGATTCATTACATCTGTTTACCTCTTCATCCATTTTATCATTTATTCATCAGATGCTTAATGCCTACCCACGGGGCCAGTCACCAGGAACCAGCAGTGAACAGACAGACGCAGCCCCTGTTCTCACAGAGCTAAGTCTGTGTCTAGATCTTTCCTTTTTCAGCCTAAACACTCCTGGCCCTTCCAACTGTTTCTCATAAGTCTTGGGGTCCAGCCACTTGCATCTTGCATGCCGTCCCCTCCCCACAGAGGGAAAGACCCAGAATGGCCCCATGCTGCCTTGTGTCTTTCAGAAAGTCAATGTCTAGAAAGACTCATCTTGAATCAGGTCACACTTTGGATCTAGTCTCAGAATATTCAATATCCAACTTTGCCTTTCAGCTCCCATCCTCCAGAGACCCCAGAAAGGGAGATGCCCAGACCCTGACCCCATCATGTGGATGGGAGTAGGCACCAGCTATGGAGAAGGACACAGCTGTGTCTCCACGTGATCCCTCCTGCATGACACCAAAGCCACCTCCAGACACACGCCCCAGTGCCTCAATCTCTATGCAGAACCTGGAGAGTAAAGACCTGCCTCAGACCCTGGAGGAAGTTAGCTCTTCAGGGGGACATCTAAGGACTGGAGTTTGAATGACAAACCTGGCTTCAGGGCCTGCCTTTGCCTCTTTTTCATTTATGTTCATGCCCAACACATTAGAGGACACTGCTTTATTTATTTCTAGAGAAACAGCACTGGGTCAGTCATTGGAG